TTTCACACCGACCAAATAAATAATTGATCTTCTATTAAAGTCTTTGACGGCACTACCCGGGAAATGCCGGCTCTCGGCTTACACTTAACAGCTGAGCGGCTTTTGAGCCGAGCTTATGGTGGGGAATGGGGGTGGGGGAGAGCCCCACAGTCACTATTTTTTTGAGTGAGACATAACGAGTCAGCCATCCTTTTCCCCGCTTGACTTTCACAAGTCAAAAGGTACCTCATGGTCTCCGCCAAAAAACGACACGTGTTTATTCTTAAAAGTTTCCCGGAAAAGTCTAGCAAATGGACGGTGATGATTTGATGTGATTCAGCAGGGTTACGTAATTTAACGGCTCATAATCAACCATGAATCCTGCTGATGTAAGCCATCACCGAGAGCTCACACGTCATTTTCTTTTCGTTAAATTTTTAATATTTAAAAATCTTATCAAACTTAATTAATTTAAAATTAATTCATACTAAACCTCATAAATAAAATTTATTTATTTATTTTTATATTTATTATACTCATATTCAAAATCGTCCCGCACTCGGTGGTCAAATGGTCACCCCCTTTCAAGGGACATGCGTAGAATTACAAAGATTTGAAATCAAATCTTAAGTCCCTCGTTCCCTCTTTCCTCAAGAAAAAAAAGATTTCATATTGTTCAAAAAAAAAAATTCAAAATCTTATTTATAAAAAATTAAATTTTTTTCACTGGAATTAACACTAAGAGTAAATTAATCACGTATGTATTATTTGTTAGGAACCCAAAAAAGTTAAGTGTTAGGATTGCACCGTTGAGAGCGCGTTGGTTAGGTGCAACGAACGACTGACCGCCTAGCGGTCTGTTTGGTTTCCGGGAAAATATCAAGAACCAATGGGCCAGATTTTTCTTCCAGGAAAGTGATCAACCGACCACAACCAAAAAGTCATCAACTTTGCAATTTGCTTCAGTCTAATTTTTTATCAACCTCTAATGATTTACTTTGAGAAAGTGTTTTTCCTTGTAAAAATTTTTTATTTTGATTTTTTTTTATGAAAAATTTTCTAACCCAAATCTTGTATCTCAGAAATTTAAATTAAGAGTATATTAAATTAAAAAAGCAAAAATTACAATATTT